GCAGCAAAATAAAAGAATAAAAATGATGTACGCATGCGTACAAACCCAATCAAAAGCAGCACCACCAGCAGCACCAGCAGCAACACCAGCAGAAGCATAAGCAGCAGCAGCAACAGCAGCAGCAACAGCAGCAGCAGCAGCAGCAGCAGCAGCAGCAGCAGCTTTGGCGTACTTGCATTTATAAGAGCCCGGGAGGTTCTCACAGACTCCATCGCATACACTCGGAAGCCCAGCAACAAGCTGTCCCTTTTGTTTCATTCTAGCAGCAGCAACAAGCGCCAAACGCTGCTGCTGCTGTTGCTGCTGCTGCTGCTGCTGCTGCTGCTGCTGGGGATTGAAGGCTATTTGGGCTAAGAGACATTCATCGACGTCCTCGCATTTTTTTGTCTCCTCTGCCCAACGGTAGCCGGCGGGACATCTGCATTCATAACTACCTGCAGCAAACAAAACAAATAAATATATATTTTAATATTTCTGCGAGCTTTGCTGTCTCCTTCTGTCTCTTTTGCTGTCTCCTTCTGTCTCTTTTGCTGTCTCTGTTTGTCTTTTTTTGCTTTTTTCTTTCATAAAGAGATAAGCAGATATATATATATATATATGCATATATATATATATATGCATATATATATATGTATATGCATATATATATATATATATATATCTGTATATAGATAAATAGATAAATATATAAATATATAAAATAGAGACAGAGTGAAAGACAAACGGAGACAGAAAGAGACGAAGACAAAGACAGATAAAGAGACAGATAAAGAGACAGAGACAGAGACAGACAAACAACGACAGACAAACAAAGACAGACAAACAAAGGCAGAAAGGGGCTGAACTCTCCATACACCCGAAGACACACCAGAAGGCAAGACAATTATTTTTCTAACGTTTATTTATTTTTTTAATGTTTATTTATTTTGTTTGTTTGTTTATTTTGTTTGTTTTATTAATATAAATTATTAATATTAATTTGTATTAATAATGCTGTCAGTATATAACTGTCGCTCTTCTGTCTCTGCTGCTGCAGCTTTATATTACTGACTTGGGTGTCTCCTCGGTCGCTGCGAGACGTTGCTGCTGCTGCTGCTGCTGCTGCTGCTGTATGCGCTGCTGCTACAAGTGCTGCTGTTGCTACAAGTGTTGCTGCTGCTACAAGTGCTACTGCTGCATTAGCTGCTGCTGCTGCTGCATTAGCTGCTGGCGCATGCATGAGTTTGTCTTACCAGGTGTATTGATGCAGAGAAGATCCGGATGAGGGCAGATCTGCTGCTGCGCTGCAGCAGCAGCAGCACATTCATCGATGTCTTCACAAACAATTGCTTCAGCTGGTGGTGTTGGTGGGTCTCTGGGTTGGTGCTGCTGCTGCAGCAGCTGCCGCTGCAGCAGCAGCAGCTGCTTAGCTTCTGCGCTGTATGACTGACTAGGAGAAAAGCGCTGTGCTGCAGTGCCGAGCTGAGCAGCAAGTGCTGCACTTTCTGCTGCCATCCGCTGCTGCTGCTGCTGCCTCTGCTGCTGCTGCAGCTGTGCTGCATTTCCTGATGCTATATTAACAGCACTAATAGCAGAGCTTGCTGTTCCTGCAGCAGCAAAAATCTGCTTCGTCACATCGGCAAGCCTCTGGGCGTCCGCGTCCCCGCTGCTGCTGCTGCTGCTGCTGCTGCTGCTGCTGTCGTTTGCTGCCTGAGCAGCCCTAACGATCCCTTCAATTGTCTTATCCAGCTGCAGACGCCGTATAGGAGGCCTCTGTCCCTGCTGCTGCTGCTGCTGCTGCAGCTGCTGCTGTTGGGGTTTCTGCGAGCGTTCGCGGGTTTGCTGCTCTTCAAGGAGGTGCTGCTGCCTGAGGATCTCCTGCTGCTGCTGCATTATTAGCTGCTGCTGCTGCTGCATTATAAGACTGTGGGCGTCGTTTAATAGGGGGCTACGTTGCTGCCTCAATGCTGATGACAGCTTCTGCTGCTGCGGCTGCTGCTGCTGCGCGAGCTGCTGCTGGCGCAGTTGCTGCTGCTGCTGCTGCTGCTGCTGTGGCTGTCGCACCTGCGTTTGCGGGTACTGCACTTGTTGCTGCTGCATTTGCTGCCTCTGTTCTAGCTGCTGCCGTTGCAGCAGCTGCTGCTGTGGCTGTTGCGGTTGCTGCTGCTGCTTCTGCTGCTGCTGCAGGAAGTGCTGCTGCTGCGGGATTTGCTGCTGCTGTATTTGCTGCTGTTGCGCTACTATCTGCTGCTGGCCGCTGACACTACTACCACCACCGACTCCCCCCCCCCTGCTGCTGCTGCTGCTGCTGCTGCTGCTGCTTTGTTTGAGTGTATATCCAGGAGCGCAGGAGCATTTATAAGAGCCAGGGACGTTGGTGCATTGCTGCGAGTTGTCGTTGCTGCATGCAGCAACCCCGTTTCCAAGCCCTTCTTCACATTCATTTCTATCTAAACACGAAGATAAATCAAACAAAGACAGTTTATATCCTACGGGGCAGCTGCAGCGATATAACCCTAAC